TAATAGCTAATGGTCATTGCATGCTTAGCATTACTGCTATGACTTCTGTTCACCTCACACATTCCTTCCTTCTGCTTCATACCTGTTGCTGTTATCCTAACTCAGGTTGTTATTTTACTAATTAAACAAAAACAAAATTTTTTTAACCGAGTTATTTAAGCAAAATAATGGGCTCTTCCCAGTACAATACATACTATTTCCTGCCTTTGTACCTTCATTCATATTCATTCCTCTGACCAGCATTCCTCTCATTTCATCTAACTGGGTAAAACTTCAATCTGTCTTTCATGATCCAGCTCAAACACCTCCACAAAGCCTTTCCTACTCTTCCATAAGAAATTACTTTTTTCTGAGTTTCTATTGAGCTATGGCACTTACTTCTTCTTTTTCTCCCATAAGCCATGTTTATCCTAAAGATTTTTTACACCTAAATCCAAGATTTTTTACACTCAACTATTTTTAGTTCTCAGTGAGATGCATGTTACAAAGAATAATGAGGCATATAAAAACTGTATTTTCCCCCCAGAAAATAATAATCTCCCAGGACTATGGACAGCATTTTGTTATTCTGATTAAAGAACAAATCACAGAATCTGCTCTAAAAAATTCTAAAAATGTCGTAACATAGAATTGGATCACTAAAAAATCTCTACATTATGAAAACACAAGATAGAAACAAGAAATTAGAATTTGGTACCAAGCCTCATACTTAATGTTTTAAGAATAAAAAAAATATGTATTATGTAATTATTTTCTTACTTTTCTTTCCTACTGCCCAGTTGGCGAGCTGTATATTGATCCCCATAGTCAATTAACACCAGTTGTCGAGAAAAGACATTCACTTTGTTGCCTATAAATAAATCTTCCAAGTGCAGGCCATCATATTTGGTCCGCTTTAAAAAGGTGCGATGATTCTTTACATCATGCTAGAACCAAAAATAACAATACAATAAAAAAACCCAATAAAAATAACAATACAATAAAAAATACTTATCAATAAGGAAGGTTACTTTTATTACAAGGTAGAAATAGTTCTTAATTATGTCTTGTCAAACATAGGTTACATTCCGTATTTTTTTTGCTTCAAATACAAATCATAAATTTCTTTATCATATAATTTCTGTATTTCCTAATCCAATCCAGTAATAACATAAAAGCTTCTTACTAAAAATTTAATATTTTAAAATAACGCTGAATAGAAAGATTTGTTTATTGTCAAGTCATTTTAGCAAATTATTGCCTACTAACTCCCAGAGAAAGATGGTCACATGCCCAAATTTCTGCTTTCGTATGTACACAAAATCCCAATACCAAACAGACCCACTTCTTAACGGTGTTGCCAAAGAAGGGACAAAAAGAAATAAACAGGACCCTCTTAGCTCAATCCTCTTCAACCAGACTTTTTGTAGAGATAACACCTTTCAATAATGGTGACATATTTATGACCATGGTAATCTTTACCTATAACCACTTATCAATTATTGCTTCCTCCAAAACATAAATAATCCCACTTCAGCTTTCTAACCAAAAAATATTCCTGCCTTTGACATTAAAAATAAAGGCACAGATTATCTTCTCATGCTTGAATTGTTATGAATACCCCCCAAAATTCCCATTAAAATATACATAAGTGTATTTTTTAAAGCAACTATATAAAAGGCAATCCTATTCCTCTCCTAATCCCACCTTTACCCTCTTTCAAACAAGCAAAGGTTCATTTACCATTTCAACAGATCCATCCCCTGGGTAAAATAAAAGCTCATAACGTCGAAGAAGTGAAGCATTTGGATCATACCACTCTGCAATGAAAACGTATCTTTCACTATGATTCTGCAAAGAAAGATAGAAGAATTTTAACACTAACATATACAGTATAAGCATTCATATAAGTCATACAAAATGAGAGCAAGAATTACCAAATATCTGCAAACAAATCTGCTACTACCTATTATATTAAATTATTCTGCTTTTCAACAAAATATCACCATTAACATACCCTCAGAAATATTTCTTTCTAATTTCTCATTAAATATCCTTAGATATCTCAAAGATGACTTAC